AATACAAAATGAAATATAAAATTTAAGAATTAAATGAGAAAAAGAAAAAACTATTTATTGGTAATTGTTATTTGCCAATGCTGAAAAAGATAAAATTTTATATTATTATGCTTCTTATTTATTTAACTTTGCCAAAATAATGCTCTATTTATATCGGCCAATTATATCCCGGTTTGGCACGCCCTGAAATAAACCGATTTTTTTAAAAAAAGATAGTATCAAATTTGAAATATTACAGAACTGATTATACTTACCAACCATCGTTTTATTTTGTAAATTTTCAATTGTGGTCTTATTTTTTTCAGTCTTTTTTTAATACTGAATATAACATTAGGTCGATAAGGAAATAATCTGAAACAACAAATTTTCCCAAAATTGTTTTTAAGAAGAAAATAATACTACATTATCATAATTTCGGTTAGCTATTTTAAACCGACACCAGCGCACACAAGTTGCATAATTAAATAAAATTAAATAACATTTTGTGGGGAAATGTGTTTTTCTATATTTGTTTTTTTAATTGCGCTAATTAGTCATACTTTTAAAGTTTTGATAAAACTAGCTTTAAACTTAAAAACAAACCATTCAAATGAATTCGATACATATCGACTGCGTCATCGATGTTAATGAAAAAGAGAAGTGTAAATACTTTAAAACACATCAAGTGATTGTAAACCAAATAACAAAAGCATTCAGAGAATATTCATGTGAAACCAAAGCAAGAAAAATGAAAGAAGCATCAGTATTTACGATCAACGGTGGTGCATTTTTCATTCACAACCGCAAACAGTCATACAAACAGTTTGGATCAATTTTTAAACGTGTTTACAGAGGTTGTAAATGTAGATCCATAATGTCACTTTCAAAACAAAAAAAACATGTGGTTAAAATTATTTTTAAGCATCTTCATTCGCATGTATTTGATTATTTTCCAGATAATGTCAAACTATTTTTCACACAAGAAAAAAAAAATAAAAAGGATGAAAGACATATTTAAGATTGGTATATTTACAGACAATATTAAATATGAGTTTTGACTATTTTTTACAAGTAAAGTGATTATTTTATTTATTTTGCCAAAATATAGACCAAACAGTGTATAAATTTCCAAATTTTAGAAAACCAAATTATTCTTATTTTTACAACCGTTAAAATTTACACGATTAAATATCAACTCGATAATATTTTTTTTAAGTATTTTCAAAAACAACTCTTTCTATGCCAAACAAACAAGTATATTACAACCATTTATATTTTCTAATTCGGAAAAATCGTTGTTATTTAATTTTTTGTTTTTGTTGTTGTTATTGTTTCAAAAATACATTTTTATAAGTTTTTCTAAGAATTAACATATATTAATTGTGATTTTTGGTTTAAATTATTTAATTTGACAATTGTATCAATTAAAAATAGTTAATAAATAATTATTTTTATTTCAAAAATAACGATATCATTTTAAAATATCAACATTATCAATAAAAGTACAATCAACATACACTTTCGACAATTTAAATTCAATATCGTTCCATTTATTGTAAACAAAAACAATTATTTTTTCAATACTTAACCATTCTATATAACAGTCAGTCAGATCCACCGAATTATGTATTTTGTTTTTAAGAAATGTCTCGTTGATGTTCTTGGAAGACTTGATTTATTTATTGTGGTAATTCGAAATTCTTTGGCAACTTAAAAAAATAATTGTATTGTATTTATAATTACATCGATTTTACATAATAAATCATTTATTTGAGCTTTATGTTTGTTTCTTTTATTGTTTTTTCTTGTGTTATATTCATCCTCTAATTCATTTTCAAAAACATATACTTAGTATAAGTAAACTTTATTCATTGATATCTTTTTTGTGTTTATTTTAATTTTTTACTATAGTCAGTCTAACAAAGTTATCTGCTTGGAAACGTTATATGTTTTTTAAACTAAACCAAGTAGATAATTGCGGGAAACCATAATAAAAACCCATCCCTTGGTTCCAATTTTTTCATATTTTTTGTGTTTTTACCCAATTCTTATTTTTTACAAAAATAAAGCCATTTATTTTGATTAGATAACGTTTCCAAATAGAAAATGTTGTTAGACTGACTCTAATTGTTTATATTAATAAAAATATTCAAAATAAAAAATTCACAATTAAAAATAATTAGTTTAAAACAACATGTCGAATTCATCAAATGATGTTTTGATGCCACAAGAACTAATTGATTTAAATGAAAAGAAAAAGGCAGAGCAACAACGTTTGGAAAAGTATCGAGAAGCACAGCGAATGAAATACGAAGCAATTCATCTTTCCAAAAAGACACTTGAAGACGCCAAAAAAGCAAAAAAAGAAAAAGAAAATGAAGAAAAACGCAAACAAGCACTTGAAGAACAAAAGAAAATTCAACAACACAATGAAGCTGAAAAATCGCGACTTGTGCAATACCGCCAACACCAAGCAGAACTTTTACAAAAGCAGAAGAATGAAAAGGAAGAAAAGGAACTTGCGAAACAGGCGCGACTGAGAAAGATCGAAGAAGACAAGAAAAAAACAGAAGAAGAGCGACTCAGGCAAATTGAACTTCAAAAGATACGTGAAAAAGAACAACTCGCACGATACAGACAACTTCAAAGCCAAAAGTATCACCAAACATCCACACAACAGCAATACAGAAAACACTCTGATGAGCGTTATTATGATGATCAATATGGTGGATATGGTGATTACAATTGATTTATAATATTTGTTTATAAATTATTATAAAATTATAATAGTATGGTTTAATTATAATAAATAAGTAATTCATTGTGTTTCATTGTGAATTAGTCGAGTTGATACACTTTGATGGTCTTCACTTTAAAATACCTCCCATCAGTCAAGTCGCCAAGTTTAGCAGTATAAGACGATGATTGGAGTGATGGGTTGCAGTAAGACCGCGAGAGACTTCCCTTCTTGAAGACACCAATAGCATGCCCACCTCCAAACCCAAAAAGACATTCGTGACTCTTGCAGTACAAATAAAACGCGTATTGGTTGTTTGAGCCTTTCAACTCGTATTTTCGTGGGTTGACAATTCCATTTCTCTCCAACGAAAACACAAAAAAACGTTGACTGCCAACAAACTCCTTTTCTTTCACGACTTTTTCATAGAGAACACCTCCAAAGATGTTTCTGTTGTCATCTTCGACAAGAAATAGTAAATTTTGTTTGTGAAGGATTTTGTCGCCAAAGACTGACGTGTTTTTGGCCCAGTTGTCTCTGCCACTGTCAAAAAGTACTTTGCCGACTTTCAACCCACTCAATTGCTCAATTTCTTGAGACCCACTGAAGTTGACTTGGACGTTCTCAACGTGTTGCGGCTTTGAAACTTCTTCTTTGTCTGTTTTTCTCGGCTTTCTGTGTATTTTGTAATTGTTCATTTTTTGTAAAAGTGAAGTTCTCGATGCTTTTGATGGTTTCAATTTTGGTGTCTCTCGTCTTCTCAATATTCACTATTTTGTCTTCAAGTGGCTTTTTGAGTGTGTCGCACTCTTCGCGATACAACGCAGTGATGACGTCAACTGTTTTGGTGTATTTTGTGACATCACTGTCACTTTCTACTTCTTCAATTTTATGTGCCAAATTGAAGAACTGAAAGTCTTTGAAGAACTTCTTTTGATGAGTTTACAACACTCTGACGATGTGACAGCACTTCCTTCCTACTCTTCAAAAACACTTCAGCGCGTTCTATTCGGTCAGAAAGTGGAAGTGAAGTGTCGTCTACAAAGTTCATTTCCAAATTGTATTTGTCAAGGGCATCAAGTGCTTTCTGACACGTCCCACAGAGAGACATCACCTCATTCAACAAATTGTTCATATTGGATGTCAGTTATCACTTTCACTTCATATCTAACACAATTAAGTCCTATTTAATAATACAACACTTCTGTCACTATTGCTGTTTATGAAAAACAAAGTTATTTACCAAACAAATTTTTGTTGACAAAACAAAGAATTTTTAGTTTAACTTTTTGTTTTCTGTAAATGTGAATCATTCAAATAAGAAAGTGTAAAAGTTTAGTTACAACAAAATTATAAAATGTATTCATTTTAAAAAATAATAATTAAAAATGGTATTAAAACTTTAATAACATTTTTAATACCATATTAAATTAATGAGTAAATTGGGTATTATAAATTATAATAAATTTTAACTATATTAATTTTGAATATAGTATTAGTAATTATTAATTATAAGTATTAATTAGAATAGATTATGATGTATTTTATTAATATTATAACAATTTGTTGTACAAATTGAATTGTCTTTAGAACAAATGTAACACAAAAACTATAAATTTGTTTACAACACGACGCATTTTCCAGACGAGAAGAATGTTTTGAATTTATTATCATTGTTAAGTTCGTCATCACACTCAATGTTTTCTTCATCATCCAATTTGTGCAATTTGATATCTTTGACGAGTTCTTGGAAAGCCTCTGTTATATTGATTTTGTTTTTAGCCGACGTTTCAAAGAAAAGGACTTTCCATTCGTGTGCCAGATCGGTTCCCTGTTTCACAGACACTTGTCTCTTGTTCTCCAAATCGCATTTATTACCACACAACACAATTGGTAAGTGTGCGGCATCATCATTGTCCAATACTCTATAGAGTTGTTCTCGAATGACGTTGGCGTCTAAAAACGATGATGTGGATGTTATAGAATAAACTATGATATATCCATCACCAGATCGCATGTACTGGTCTCGTAACGCAGAATACTCTTCTTGTCCCGCAGTGTCCAAAATATCTAATGGGACGATTTTACCATCAACAGATATCGACGTCTTATATGAGTCTTCGATAGTCGGATCGTATATTTGAATGAACTGTCCAGAGACTAACTGAATTGTAATAGCAGACTT